GTTTTTGTGAAGTCGTCACGAAATTATATGGTGTCATCACTATAAAAATAGAATTAGAATATTTTTATTTGTTCTTATTTTATTTTGACTAGGTCTTTATAAAATATACTAAATGTTTCACTTAAAGCGCGTAAAACGACAAACTAAAAAAAATATATTCAGTGAAAAATAAGCATGTATTATAGTTAAAGGTAAACATGTTATCGAATTTGTAACGCATGTACCAAAGAATATGGTGCGATCAATCTTTTTTATCCTTTTTTGTTGGTGAATTTATAGATTTGTAATTTCTTGTAATCCCTCGAGGATTAGTAGTGCATTTCTTTATTTTTCATATATACATCGGCATCACTGCATGTGATTTATTACTGTGAATAATAGGGGAATCTGGACAATCTCTAGAATTGAAATGATTTATTGTATTACAATTGATTGAAGGCATGCCCATAAAAACTTCATCATTTCTGTACAGAAAATCCATCATCTGTGTAAATGATCCTTTCTTATCAATGTGTCGAGACTTAATTTCAGTTACTTACTGTGGAAATAAAATGTGATTATGACGTAGGAATGGGCAAGCGGGTCAAACTTTATTTTCCTAACACTTTCGGAGGGTATATCATAGTAATAAACAAGTAAAAAGTTGCCAACGCAAAAATGTACTCACAAACCGTGCACATTAACTTAATTAATGGATGATCTATGGTCTTTTACTTTACTTTTACTTTTACTAGTGGTCTAAGTAGTTCATCAGCAGTGATCACTAATATGTCAACACTGAGGTAAGTTGTTGGTTCGATGCTCGTGCATGGCTGGTGCTTCGATTCCGATCTTAATTGACTAAGATTGGCCAGTAATCAATGTTTCAATTGCTTGTTCGATAGCCTTGTTATACAGAAAACTGTTTTGGGTCACTTTGAACAAAATTTGGGCGAGGTTCTCCCGACTCTTGCTATTCCGCCAGGTCTTTGAACCACATGCCCATTATAAATTTACAAGACACTAATGTTTAAAAAAATGTGATCACTTTTGACCCTTTTATCTCATATTCACAATGCTTTCCAACTTTCTACCACTTGTACAAGTTTTATTAACATCAAACGAGTGTACTTCGATGAATCACGCAGAAATAGCAAATTGCACCTCATAATAATGTATTTTCAATCATTTTTAAGCAGCTGTTTACTTGATAACTTGGTCAATAAAGTGCAAGGTTTTTCAGGTTGAGCCTCTTTGACATGACTGTAATGACATGTACTCACTGAAGCACATTTCCATTCAAGATTTTACATGCTGTGACAAATTTTGATCCCTATGACTACGTGAATGGCTTGTAGTATGCTTCTTCATAAATGTGTCTTATATACATTTTATACATGTTATCAATGCTGGATAAAGGAAGGTACCGAGTATACTCCAATAAGATAGCAATCCAGACACTAAAGCCATAACATCTAAACAAATTCAATATATAAAATAGACAATACAACTTTTCAGTCAAAGTTTTTTTTTTTATTGAAAAAGGAAAATGGTTTATTAATTCATAAATCCCTTCGTGGCCTTGACTAAACCCCAAAAGGATCATGCAACGAAACGGCTCCGATACATCTCTATGTCACAGTGGGGGTCAACACGGGCGGAAAACCCGAACCTCACTGCAGTAAATGTAGCACTGACGCATACACTTTTAGTAATTTTTGAAGCTTGTCCAAATTGTTTATAGTGATCACAAAAAAAAAAGCTTGACTGCATACGCCCCCTCCTTACAAAAACTGTTTCAATTGCAATTGTACTGCAAAAATGTACTAGATATATAGCAGTTCTAAGAAGGTTCTACCCGAGAAAAAAACAACAACTATATATTCCTTGTATATGATGTAAAGAAGAAAAACAAAAGACCATATCCGAAAAGCATTTATATAATTATTTTATTGCACAATTTGAACCTGTTAGACAAACGTAGCACCAGAATTGTAACAATTCAATACTAGTTATTATTTACAGTCCTGTTCTATTACATAACAGCGAAACATAATCCTGTTAGATGGCTCATTTGTCGAAATATCTCCATCATCACAGAAATATAAAAATCCATATTATTACTGAAGTCTGTGTAGAATGTATAATTTCATTAGATTCCTATCTTCCTTTGAGATTCATTTCCCGTATGTAAGAACTTAGTCATCCTGAAAAACAAAAATATTAGTAGATTTTTTTAAATGTGAAATACAAACACTTTCCTAGATCGATGATCTTTGTGAATTTTTACAATGAAAGATTATCATTTATATTTCATTATTAAAATTGTCTAACAGTTACTGTGCTACTGTACAGCCCATATCAATACTTGAAAACTATACCGAAATGATTTAAACTTGGTCACGTAAAACAACAAATGAGCCTTAAAATTGTTTATCGGTCATTAGGCAGTATTAATTATAATCATCGTTTCCGAACTTGACTATAATTGTACATGACTTATTGGACCATGTCTGAAAGAACTTTTGTTTAACGCTACGTTAGTTACACAAGTAGAGTTGTGTTTTTCAGATACATTTCATATTAAAAGACTATATAGGGCACAAACTAGTGTATAGCCATGTCCAATGTCTGTTTTATCATTTGTTTCGTGTCAAGTCCAATAATTCAAAGCCTACTAGTTAGTCAGGACGCAAACATACACAAAAGTAAAAACAGACCCATAAAACGATCACCCTCCGAGCCTGAGTTTCTTTGTTCTGTAACATTTTGGCGGGAATGTCAAATCCACAATAAAACTTAGAAATATTTATAAGGAAGACTAACTATCAAAATTTATGTAGAAAAAAATCCAGTGTCTATGCTGGGAATCGAACTCAAGACATTTAGCATATAGACCCACGATTCATACCCCTACACAAGGGCGACTGGATACAAACTCGCAGTTAATATAACATATTTAAACACTGTGTCCGGGGCTCATAAAGGGTATATAGTAATATATCAAGTATATTTTGATGATTGTGAGGCGTTCTATACAAGATTTTATGAAGCGTGAATGGTTTTTTATCTAATCTAGAACAGCTGGGATGTAACATAGTTATCCCATTCGGACTTGGTGTGTCAATGTAAGATCACCCTCTGGCCTCCGGCCATCGGGGTGATCTTACACTGACACACCGCGTCTTCATGGGATAACTATTACTGAGCGAAAGCAAAACAAAGTAGAACACCACTTTAGCCTGCCCTGACCGAAAATCCCAATAAAATTATCGAGGGTATATACTAAAATTAGGGTAAATATGGAAACCATTCTCAAATATATTTTCTCTGGACTTATGGTGTAAGTAGCTTGAAGCTTCAGCAACCTTCGATCACTACAACTTGACACTACAATAACAGACAACAAAACATTTACAGGGATATACTACATTGTATTATATATGTCGCTGTTATAAGCGCCTGAGTCCATCTCTTATCTGGAAAATATTTCCTTCCTTTCATGAAATTGTTTCTTGTTGTTGTGTTTTTTTTTACTAATGGTCTTAAAAATCGAACTTGTCAATGGGTTTTCTTTTTCAATCACGTGGTAGTACTAAGTAGTTAGATATTGCGACATTTTACGAACACTATGTAAGTTCCTGATAAATAAATACCCATTCATCGTCGTTGTTATCGTCAGCTGGAGTCGTTTCTCTTTCATTGGATTTCAAAGACATAATTTTATCCGTCCAATTTGCACCAACCTGTTCTCCTGCAAAATTTGACACAGTTGACGAAGCAATTTCCACTTTCGTTAAGTTTTCTGAAAATAAAATATCCTTTATAATTCTACTTATGTTATACAATGAATGTATATTTTTTTCAATTCTTAGGCTGTCCTTTTTTCTGAACTCAATCATATTTTTGGTGAAATACATATAGCTTAATTGAAATTATAGCTAAATTGCTTATATCCATGTCATTTGATCACTGAACTCTGTTGGTTAGTGTCTTATTGGTAATCATACCACATTTCCTTATTTTTGACATAAAACAGCAACCTTGATGAACAACGTAATTACAACCCTCATATCATAGCGCTAAAAACTGCAGTTAATAAAGCTGCCATTGTCCTAAATTGTTATCAACCAAATATAGAAATTCGAGGTATTTAAAATCGTCTTGTCAAGCTTTAATAATGCACTGTTAATCCATGTCCTGAATCTAAATTAGACTGGTTCCCTGTCCTTTATCTGTTTGGCTCAGATACCCGTATGTTGCATGGGAGAGGACCAGCCTAAATCTAAAATAAGCAATAACTATCTGTGCTGCAACAGCTATTTGTAGACTGGATTGTCCAACTTCTTTTGTTTTCTTTTTTATATAAACCCCGGTCATTTGTATTACGTATTTTGCTTAGGATAAACGTTCGATTAATTTCATATAAAAAGTAAAATAACAAAAATACCGAACTCCAAGGAAAATTCAAATCGGAAAGTTCTTTATAAAAGGGCAAAATCAAAAGCTCAAACACATCAAACGAATGGAAAACAACTAATATTCCTGACTTGGTACAGGCATTTCCTGATGTATAAAATGGTGGATTAAACTTTGTTTTATAGCTAGCTAAACCTCTCACTTGTATGACAGTCGCATAAAATTCCATTATATTGACAACAAAGTGTGAACAAAACAAAAACAGACATAATAGGTAACAAGAGTGGACACACAGAAATGTCTCACCTGTCGTGTATTTCTAATTGAAGTTATGTTGAAAGTAAATGCTATCAGACATACATTATAAATTTTAAGCTGTAAATAATGAGATAATGTCGCTGCTGCTGATGCCTGTAAGAACGCTAAAGCTGCTGCCAGGCCTGCTGAAGACAACTATCATAGTGTCTTCATACTACTAATTGTATAAGTTATTATCCGTTATATGAAGATATGCTGGATAACTGTGGTTAAGAGTGAAATAACTTCGTGATATACCATTGATATTGATTATTGTGATTAAAGATGGCAGTGAAGATTGATAGTATGATTGTTAGAATTTAATACAAGAAGAATATTTATATTTTAATATATTCAGACAATAAATCCTATTAATATGGTTGTGATGCCCTGTATTACAGGACAAATGTTCATGCATGAGTGAGCTTGTTTTAACATTTCCGCACCTTCCAATGTTTCAGTTAATCATTGTTCAGTAATTATCACAGATGGTTTAATTTAAATATATTTTCATTATTGTTATAAAATGATTCTTATATTCAATATTCAAAGTCATTTCTGATTAAAAAAAAATGAAATGAATATAAAAATGAATTACACCTTATAATTATTCAATACATGATATAATTGACTAATCCCTTCTTGTAACTGAGAAATTGGATAAACTTTAAATAATAAACATTGACCAATGATCTATGAAAATAAGGTCAAGGTCAGATGTCACCAGCCAGTCAGATGTATAAATCTTAATTCTTATATTAATTACATAAACCAAATATATTTCACCAATTCCATATAGTATCTTAAAAAAAAATAAAAAAAGAAAAAAAAAACTAACATTAACCTATGAACCATGAAAATAAGGTCAAGGTCATATGAACCCTGCCAGACAGACAGATACGCCTTACACTCATTCCATACACCAAATATAGTTGACCTATTGCTTATATTTTCTAAGAAACAAAGTTCAGCATTAAAACTTAACATTGACCAATGAGCCATGTACAAGGGTTAAGGTCATATGATACCTGGCGGACAGACATAAACACCTTATAAACATTCCATACATCAAATATAGTTGACCTATTGCTTATAGTTGAACACCTTATAAACATTCCATACACCAAATATAGTTGACCTATTGCTTATAGTTGAACAAAAATAGACCAAAACACCAAATTTAAACACTGAGCAATGAACCGTAAAAATCAGGACAAGGTCAGATAAAACCTGCGAGACAAACATGTATATCCTAAAATATTTCCATACACCAAATATAGTTCACCTATTGCATATAGTATAAGAAAAAAAGGACCAAAACTAAAAAACTTAACTTTGACCACTGAACCATGAAAATGAGGTCAAGGTCAGATGACACCTGCCAGTTAGACATGTACACCTTACAATCATTCCATAATCCAAATATAGTTGACCTATTGCTGAAAGTATTAGAAAAATAGACCAAAAACAAAAACTTATCATTGATTGATTGATTGATTGTTGGTTGCTTAACGTCCAGTGGCAAATATTTCATGCATGTTCAGGACGAGAACAAGTTTACAATAAATACAATAGGTAGGTCCTGTAATAGAGGCCGTCGGGGAAATTTGGACTGCCACGGGAAAATGAGGGTATATTGGATAAGGACAGAAATTTAGCCTTGCAACAGGCCACCTACGGACCCATCAAAGAGTTGTTGCAAGGGTTCTGAATGAAAACTGTCTGACGGGCATGAAGACCTTGCAAGGTACGCACATACCAAATATAGTTATCCTATTACTCATAATAAGAGAGAAATTAAGAATACTAAAAATCTTAACTTTTTTCAAGTAGTCACTGAACCATGAAAATGAGGTCAAGGTCGATGGACATATGACAGACGGAAACTTCATAACATAAGGCATCTATATACAAAGTATGAAGGATCCAGGTATTCTACCTTCTGAAATATTAAGCTTTTAAGAAGTTAGCTAACGCCGCCGCCGCCGCCGCCGCCAGATCACTATCCCTATGTCGAAAGTCGAAGGCTCGACAAAAATGTCAAAAATAGGGGTACAGCAGTCAACATTGTGTTATAATCGTAATCACTATAAAAAAAACCAACAAATATGTCAACAAAGAAAAAAACAAAACTGCATATATAGACATAGCACATAAGCAAAAATGAAAGACAAGAATACAAAAATAAAACCTGCTGGATATAAATACATGCTCTTTTGAAAAAAAAACATACCCATGCATTTTGCCTCTTTTTTTGAAAAAAAAGAATGGAACATTTAACCAAAGAATTGTCCTAACCTATAAAAGGACTGTTCTTCTTTGTTGTTATCCGTAATGAATCTCCATCTGAAATCTCTATATCTTCTAGTTGAGATTCTGGTAACCAAAACGATAAACATCCTTCCAAAAAAAGTGAAGAAGATTTCCGATATATCTGATCCATTTCATCATTTTGTAGAAGTTTCTGTACTTCTTGTTTATTTATATTATCAGTTTCACCTTTAGCTTCCACCTCTGGAATGAAAAACACACACATTAAACTGCAAACGTATAAAATGGTAATAAACAATTTCTTTTTACGGGGGAGGGGGGGGGAGTAATGTTGGGACTGATTTATAACAAATATTTTTTTTTTTATGTGTTTATGCTTAAAAAAATGTTGAATAAGAAATATTAAGCTATCAACACACTCTAATTTTACAGCAGTCATTGTCATTATACAATTGGACACATTTTGCCTTTTTCCAGAGTGGATTTCTCATATTTTTAACCTTAACCAGATCTGGCTTAACCCATAAAAAAAATTATTTTTCAAATATTTTTTGTTAAGCATTCTCCAATGATACAAATGCTTACTGTATTTATTAAGATAACCTGTTCCAATCTTCTGTGTCTCACTAAAATTTGGGTTTATTTCCTTCCCAGAACTGTCAAATTTTCTTTTGTGTGCTTTCTGTACATCAACATGAAGTACAAAATATCTTTTCTGAAAAAAGAACGAAATAGTATTGTCATAACACTCTGAAAAGAAACAAAGTTTTAATATCTTACTTTTGATTCGTTTTATTCTATTTATTTCTTGTGTAACGAATTTAACACCATCCAGAGTTTGACACTTTTTAATTATTAATTATCATGTTGATTTAAGTGTTTTCATCAGATTGTCGTTCCTTTTTTCGTATAAGGCGCACTTGAAGAAGGGACCCCTTGATAGGAAAACTGAAAATGCTGTTTATATGAAACTTTATATAAATCAGTAGTGAGTGAAATTGATTGACCTGCAGCTAATTTACTGTACTGTAATTGCTTGTATTGAAAAATCCTCTTGGAGCAAATTGAGAAAAATATCCATTGTACTGGTTACACCCGAATTAATTTTAAAATAGTACTTATAATTATATGGGGAATAGGAGGATTTTGAAAATAAGTTACTTGGTCTGGTAAGAACTGAAAATAAAAGACTTTGCTCAAGACGGAAATAAAAATAAAAATCCTCGTCCACCCACACCCCAAACCCCCAGAATATCAAATGGTAGCCTCCTTACTACTGTTTCAACATTTAATAGTTAAGATCATACACTGATACTTACAATAAAAAAAAACGTAGTCTTTTATGTAATAAAACACAAAAACAACATATTTAAAAAAAAGTGTGTTTATTGTACGAAAAGGTCAGAATAAGACAAAGCACTACGAAAGAGGACAATGAAAATAACGATAAAGGACACAAAGTAACTATGCTAGTATATGCCTTCGACCACGTTTTTAATATGATAATTTACATTTGTCACTATTTGGTGCTTAGTTTGCAATTTGACTTGATGTTCATGTTTTCCAAATGTAAGCACTATGTCCTTTTACATTATAAATGAAAAGTTTTAAGAGATTGATTGATTGTTGGTTGCTTAACGTCCAGTGGCAAATATTTCATGCATGTTCAGGACGATTTTTTAAGAGAAGAACCTTTTTTGTGCATTTAGCAAATCGTATGGAACCAAAGTTGTGTTGTCAACGTTTATTTGTTTCGCCTAACAGAAGGTCTACTGCGTGAAACTTAGTTATAAACAATGTCATAATATCTGTTCCCGTTGGAACAAATATTCTATAACCTTTATTCCGTAATACTGTAATATTTGTTCCAGTGGAAATAATATGACAGAATATTTTTTTCTTCCACTTGGAACTTATATTATGAAGGAACTTCTGTTTCGCGCCAGTGTGTGATTTTTGCATTATCATGGATTACTTCTATTTCGATTTTTTTAAAACTAAATATTTTACAAGATAAAACCTTAAATAAAGAGAGAAATATGATCAGTTGCTTTCTCTTGCTTGATTAAATTTCCCCTACATTATCTGTCTCATTGTTAGCACAGGAAGACAATTAAGCAACTCATTATTTCGAAAGTCAAGCTAGTTTTGTGTAAATGTTCTAACAGACCATCATGAATTCTTTATTGGTAATTAAAACCACTAAAGTGTCTATCCATTTACTAATTTGCCTAACATCTATGTGTCTCTATTCTTTAATGACAATAGATCACAAGATAGCAGCTGAACAGTATTAGCCCACTACTATTACAAATTATACCTTCTGCATTTGCAATATAAGAAGACATTACAGCGGTGACCATAAAGATTCAATACTTATTACCTACTTTGCTGGCCAATGTAAAAAACAGTAATGACAAATTTGTGGTCTATCATTTCCTAAGACAAATCATTTGTATCGAATTATTGGTATGAGGTGAAGCGAAAATGACACGTTTTGGTATATCATTTGGCAAATTTTATTTCCTCTCTGCTTATATCAATCGATGAACAAAGGCAATGAGCGATTGGTTTTCTATAGTCTCTAAGACAGAAGTTATTCAATCGGAAAAGAAGACTTTTGTTGTCACTTAAGTGGAAATAAAAACATATATTAGGATTGAAATTTATTGTGAAAGCCTTTACACAGTGTACTGTAAATCTAGTGGAAAACTCATTCCAGAGTAATAATGAAGACAAATAATGCGTGTACAATGATTTTGAATTTGTATAGATTCATGTAGACATGAAATAAAGAGCTAATACCAGACTTCAGACTATCTGGCAATTGTCTATGACACTACCAAAGAGTGATTAAATATTAGAAACCATTTCCTTATTTAGACATTAATTTGTTTGCTACTTCCCACAGCGAAAAAGTCACAGTAGCGGTAACTCCTCTGACAATGTACACCTAACAATTATTCCATACACCAAATTTAGTGGCCATGTTGCTTATACCAGTGGGATCTGACAAACAAACCAAATAAGAAAAACTTAACATTGACCCATGAATCCCGAAAACGAGGTCAAATGAAAGCTGCCAGTCAAACATGTACACTTTACAATAATTCAATACACTAAATAAAATTGACCTTCTGCTTGTAGTATCTGAGATACAGACTTGACCACAAAAATTTAACATTAATAACTGATCAATGATATGAGGTCGAGGTCAGGTGAAAACCCTGTCTGACGTACATGTAGACCTTGCAAGGAACCCTTATACCAAATATAGTTATCCTATTACTCATAATGAGTACGAAATTCATATGACAAACAAAAACTATATAATTTTTTCAAGCAGTCGCTAAACCTATATCAGACAGAAACTTCGTAACATAAGGCATCTGCATACAAAGTTTGAAGCATCCAGGTCTTGCGGATGTGTTCAACAAGTTCATTTCATTCACAACATGCCAACAGCTTAAAAGGTGAAACTAAGGTTCAACTTGAATTCTGTTTCGACCCGCAAAAAATCATTGTTATACAGGTTACAGGCAAATCGATGATGTACATTTTTTAATATCTATGATATGATATAAAACAGAAAAATAGTCTTTATACTATTGCACGTGATATTCATATTTATCTATTTATAATTATATTATGGTCACATGTGCCTATCAGCAATCAGCAAAGGTCTTAGATAACCGCCGATACTTTTAGCGATTTCGTGCATTTTTTATTGTTTCCCTTGGACCTTTAGTAAATCTGATCTACAAGTAACGTATATAGTATGGTATAAACATACTTAAGAGTATGCGCCAATTCAGTGAAAATGAACTTGGCAGCTACAACAGCTGGTTTTTTTTTTAATTTGCTATATTTGCATGTTTGGACTTTTTCGAAAAAGAGGGATAATACACATTCCTGAAACCACTCGGTATACAAATAATGGTATCTTACACTACGATTGTTCATTTAAGACACTTTAATTTTGGACAAGTAGCATTCCATGAAACAAACAGAACTCTATTCGAAATGTTAGTACTGTCATGAAATTAAGTTTAAAATCGTGTATGTATTGATTCAAGAGAACTGAATAAAATAACATTTTGTGATAATTATCCACTTGCAAGTATAGTTGGTATAATTGGAGCAAAACTATTTTAATATAAATACAACCAGAAGTCCGACTCCTTACTAGTAATAATGGACTTCTGATACAACATATATCTTATGTATATGTCAATGAATAAATCTTCGACACAAACTATTTTTAAGACATCTGGAGGTGACCATACTGTATACAACAAAAGGTTTCTTTAAAATATGTAATGATCTAAATCGCCAAAAGTCAAAAGAAGCTAACCTTAAAATAACTTTCAATTTTCCAATGTCTACACATAAATTAAAATGATATGCAAAACATATACACACCTTGTTACCGTCTTTTGTATTGACTGACACCTTTGATCTTCGCCGTACATTTCCTTCAATTAAGACACCAGTGCCCCTAAAATATTGAGACCTTTTATGTTCCGAAATGATTACCCTGTCTGAATTAAAAAGTCTATTGTGAAAACTTCAGAATGTGAGGATATTATATATATGTGAATATTTAAAGTTATTGAAATTAATATAGAAGACTTAAACTTCGACAACAAAAATCTGCACGGAAAGTACACGAAATTAACTATTATGAACTATTCAGATTCCTTGTCACTAAATATGGTATGCACCATTTGGTTTTATTAATATCAAACATCCATGATCTTCTATTATCTTACCTCCTATACATTTCTAGGAATATGATTGGTTAAAAGCAACCTGATCTTCTAATATGCGGAGAGAAATTGATGTGGATATATAATAACATGATCGGCCTGACAAGTATTTCAGTGTTTGCTTTGAGTAAAGCATATTACACTAAGCTACAGTCAGTGTAAGTGCAATGCAATTAATTATCACACTTGGTTGTGAGTTCTTAGAGTGAATGCTTATTATTGTCGATGTCTCTGATATATTTTTATGTAAATTCTATAATTTAAGCAGGATATATTAAACGCAGGTCATAATTCATGTGCTATCCCCTTCAAACATAAACAGGGGCCTCGATGGCCGAGTGGTCGAAGTAGTCGGACTACTGTATCACTAGCCGGTCAACACTCAGGTGCGCTCGACTCCAATCTTAATTGACTAGGATTGTCAGTTTTCCTACCGAAGGACGGTGGTTCTCTTAGCGCACAATAGTTCCTTCACCAACAAAAACTGACCGCCACGAAATAGCACAATAGTGCTGAAAGTAGCGTTAAACATCAACCATTCTTCATGGTGGTTCACAAGCCAATGTGATACATGTACCTTGTGAGTGCTGTATATCTCAGCTAATGAAATAAAACATGAATGTGTACTCAAATAATATATATAATTATATATATATATATATATATATAGATAAGAACGTCTAAACAAGTGACAACTCTACGACAGATCCATCTATTGGATCACCAGTGAAGGTGATACACGGCTGAAAACATATTATATTCATAATTACTCTAAATATCAGCACAACAATGTTAAATCTGCTCTTCCCTCGCCGCGATTCGAACTCATGATATATATGTATATATATATATATATACATAAGAAAAATAATATAAGATAATGACGGTTTCAATTCATCACTTTTACTAGCGCTTTCACTGCTTTCACAGATCTTCAGGTAATGTGACTTGTAAACATAAATGTTATAAAACAATTGATTGACGTTAACAATAGTATGACGTTAACAAATACAAGGGAGACTACTAATGTCATTTTAAAATTGGAGTAAAGTCTTTAAAATGTTTCGTAAAAATTAAAATATTATTTATCATTTAATCCCGGGTTGAGAATGTTTATGAATAATTCTTCTTTCTTCTTCCGGAGAAAATCATTTTGACGATTGACCATATACAACGGAAATATTTTAAATCGTCCATTAGAACAACGATGGAAATGGTCGTTAGCCCTGATGATTGTTAAATCTTCATGGTTGGTTTGCTGTCTATGTACAGTCATTCTAATCCGCAGTTCTGTTTTTGTCTCTCCAATATAGAATTCCTCACAATTTGCACATATGAGAGAATAAATGACGTTTGAACTTTTACAAGACATATTTTGTTTAACTGTGAAATGCTTTCCATTTTTGAAATAAATTGAACTTTCTTCTATTAAATCTGGACATGTCATACATCGTTTATCGGTACATTTTCTAACAATAGGCAAAGTTTCATTAAAGTCGAATTTTGAAGATGTTAAATATCGTTTTAGACTTTTTGACTGTCTTTTACTGTTGATAATCTTCTTTTTTTGTAATACTTTGTCCATTTTTTCACTTTTGTGTAAATTATTTTCAATTTGTCGCATGAAACTAAATATATCATAATCTCGTGGGTTATAGACAAACTTTCTAAATAGTATTGGAAAGCAAGGATTTTTATTACTATAAAGGTATGGCAAGGCGATGCAGGACGTGACGGCCATACTGCCATGACGTCCATAGGATGAAACGGCCATACCCCGAAAAGATGAAACGGCCATATGACAAAAACGGCCATACTTTGTGAAGACGTATCGTCCATGGTTTTTTTTTTTTTTATATAGATGTTATTTATGAATTATGTTGATACTTATAGATGGTTATTATAACTTTTAGATAAACTTTACTGTTTTTATATTATTTATCATGTTTAATTTTGTTATATCATTTGTTTAATCATTATATATATATCGTAAATGAATGTGTTTAATCTAATAAAATATTAAATATCATATTGTTTTCTAAATGGTTTTTTGATATCTTGCGTATTATTTCTTTAAATGTTGTGTGTTCGACAGAATTGTTTTAATTTCTTATCGTTCCTTTATTATTTTGAGAAGAACAATTGTATTCAACCTAAATTTTTCATTTTTTGTGGTTGACTATTATTCCGAATAAGTCCTGTTATGCAAAAGGTCTCAAACCGTTATTTATGATTATGTATGATGACCTATAAAAAAAAGACCGATCATAAATCATATTAATCCAATCATTGGGCGCGTGTCTCTGTTAAATACAAAGTATACACATTTCGGAGGTGTTAATCCTTTAATTAGTTTACGTGATTGCCAATTATCAAACAATGTTACAAATATTAATGTGAATTTATATATTTTGAATTATATTTTGACATATAATATTATATTATATTTGACGTTTTTTTTTATACTTTTTTTGTGCAAAAATACACAATTATATTTTGTTTCACGACTTTTATACATATGTTTTTCGTTTAGGCAGTATTAGAAGCACCACCATCACCAGCACCAGCATCACACCATGTCATGTTTTCCTCACCTACACAGCAACAGATCCTACAGAAAGCTAGACGGTGGTACCTGGACGGCACCTTCAAGGTTGTACGCACACCTTTCACACAGCTCTTCACTGTACACGCCTTTTTGCAGAAAGAAGATTCCATCAAGCAGGTTCCTCTAGTGTTTGTGCTGATGTCACGCAAAAGGAAGAGAGACTACAAGGCAGTAAGTTGATTATGAAATCATTATTTTTATAACTAAGATGTGGTATGGTTGCCAATGAGCCGACGGTGTCCAAAAATCTTACAAGTAAAAGTTTATTATATCTCTAAGACAATATTTAGGAACAATGCAATAAACTGTTCACGTGAAATAATGTTACAAGATTTATAAATATAAACTCATTATAGTGATAAACATTTATATTTACTTTTAACATTTAAATAATAATTCATTTATATATATAACACGAACTTATATTTACTATTCTTAATTTTTAGGTTTTTGAAAGACTGAAGCAGGTAGTACCAGACCTGCGTGTGCAAGCCTTCTGTCTGGACTTTGAGTCAGGTATGTTTAATATAAAACATAGCATACTACAATACAACAAAATGTGAGATAATTGCCAATGAATATAAATATAGATATATATAGGAAGATGTGGTATGAGTGCCAATGAGACAACTCTCCATCCATATATTACAGTTATTTAAAAAAAAAAAATTCAACAAAATGGTATGAAAAAACAAAAAGTGGTATATTAGTGTAAAATTTCATTTATTATAAAATCTCTTCATCATATAATTTTAAAATGTATAAACTAATATGTGTCATTTAAATTTACAGCAGCCTGGTCAGCCATCAAGACCGTCTTTCCTACAGCCGAGATAAAGGGATGTTCATTCCACTGGTGCCAAGCAGTCATGCGGAAGGTTGCCAAGTTGGGGTTGAAGACCGCCTATGACTCCAAGAAGAGCGTCCACCTCTTCATCAGGAAGTTACTTGCTCTGCCATACCTGCCATCTGACCACATCAGACCAGCTTTTACAGAGATGCTTCAAACCACTGCAACAGCCTCACCACAGATCAAGCAGCTGATGACCTACCTTCAACGTACCTGGTTCAACAACACAGTCTGGACTGTTCAACAGTGGTCTGTCCATCGGCTCTCAGTGAGGACAAACAATGATGTAGAAGGTATTTTTAATTATTAGTAATATTTTTTATAGTTAATAATAAAATAAAAATAAGAAGATGAGACAACAATTCCCGAAACTTCCAACCAGCAGCAATGAGAACCCATATGAATACCGCTTCATCATTTTTTTGTTGCATTTTATAAAGTTATACTATGATCATATTTCAATCTTAAAATAAAATAACTTTACACATTAAAAATTTTTTAGTATCTATTGTGTTTAATTAGTTTAGGATGGTAAAGTTAAAGTTATACTATCATCATAATAGTTTTTATAAATATTAACATTAAAATTGTTTCGTTTTTATTCAAATTTTTAGTAATTATTGTGTTTATTTTAGGGTGGCATAGGCGTTTCAATGGCAAGGCTGCCCACAACCACCTCCATTTCTATAAGATTGTGCCAGCCTTCCTACAAGAAGCAAAGACCGTGTCCATCACACAGCAGCTTGTGAGTGAACAGCAACTCAGCCGATATCAACGAGACACATACAAGCAGCTTCAAGGCCGTCTAACTTCACTGTGGGACCAGTACGAGGAAGACAGTATCAGAACATCAGACTTTCTCCGTTCCGTGGGCCATCTGTATGCACCCCCTGTTCCACAGCCAGAGACCCTCCCAGAGTCCGACTCTGAAGATTCCGACATCGAGTTATAAGTGTTAATTGTAGTGACTTGAGAACTTATTGGTTGTGCTTATTCTGTGTATAGTGCTTTGTTAAAATAGTAACTTTAATGAGTTCATGAAGTAAATGATCATAATATAGTATATTTTGGTATGTTTAGTGCTTTTGTTTCAGTTGTGACTTTTATAACTGCATGTTTATGTTGTGACTTTTATAACTGCACGTTTATGTATTTTAGTGCTTTATGATATAGGTTATATGTGTGAATGTGAATATAAATGTTTGAATATTGGGTGAAATGTGTATGCAGTGGAATAAATGAAAAAGTGTGAGATTGCTAATTTAAAAAATGTATATAAGATGAATGTTCAATGGCATGTGTATATATGTATGTTCTTACATTTCGATGTGTTTGATTTTCTACATGCCTGAACGAAAAGAATAATATATATGAGTGTTTTGTGTATGTATGATGTATGATTTATATGTTTGTTGTATATTTGTTTATCTGTATGACTGAATGAATAAATAAAATATATTAAACAAAAATATTATCTTTTTGTTTCTTATACTAGAGTATATTGGTTTGATTGTCCATAATACAATTCTCCATCAACAAAGGCACAAAAATGGGAACATTTAAATTGTCAACAAATAGTATTCAACACAATGAACAAAGTTCTACAGTAGTCTCCGTCTTGGAAAGATGTTCAGCAAATGGAATGACTCTAAACTATAAGAAAGAAAAAAAATACAGAATTATTAAAACTATGTACTGTCTGATGAACATGACAAATATAACTCGAACTTGATGAACTGCCTTCCTTAGAGTTAACCTTAACACTGAGTCCTGTTTTAAATTTCACCAAGACTGAGATTGAGAAGATTTTTATTGTTTAGAATAATATATTTTTTACAGATATAATAAAAAGATCTGTGACATGTGCTTGTATTTATATATCGTCATCGACAGCGACAGTCAACATTCCTACAGTTTAAACTTCATATAAAATAAAATGCCTTTATATCACATTACAATAAAAATGATTCTTCAGAAATTGTTTATAACTGATAATGAAGAAATAGTCAATATACTTACATAATATGGCCCCAACAAGTTGTAAACACGAGTGATGATGATCAAGCAAAGATAACTCTTACAAGAATAAATAAGATCTCTTGTACAGAAAAAAATACTACAAAATCATATTAATGTTATTATTATGAATAAATACTTATTTTATTATTATATTTTGTGCTATAACCTCAATAAAAAATTTTTTTTAAAGTGTGGACGATACGTCTCACAATGTGTGGCCGATATGTCCCATGGACGATGTGACGGTATGGCCGAAACATCCCATGGCCGTCATGGAAGTATGGCCGTCGCGTCTCGAAAGCTGGCAAGGCAAATAAGAATATATATAGTTTATGGGTGGGAATACTTAATGTTTTCATATCACAAACGTTTCAGATCTCCGCCCCTAATAAGTATGTTTTCTGAATTGCCACGACAAGACTTTAAAATGCAACAATATATATTTGGAATTTTCTTTAAAATGCATCATACATTTCTTGAAAATACTTACTTTATGATATGTAGGGAACAGAGCATGAATCCCAGCACCCACCTACCATAAAGTTGGATGAACATTACCCATACCCAGGTCAAACCCTAAGATGCACTTAAAGTTCTTTCCATGCCAGAAAAGATAAGTTTAAAAGTTTCCTGTTGTATGGTGTTCGGCAATGGGTGACCCGGAAATAACGGTGGGATTACAAAATATCAATATTTTTTTTGCGATTTCCAAACATATCTGGTGTATTTAATTTACTTACCCTGATTTTTCTTCAAAGTTCCATTCTGGATGTTCTATAGTGATTAGCGGTAAGTTTGATAAAGGTTTATCATTATAAATTCTACTCATGTTTGTCAATGTAATATTGATAATGTTTACAAACATCAAACTCGGAAACAGCTGTGACGTATTAAAACATAAAACCTATGCCGGACAATTATAATTGTTTCCGCGTTTACAAGAAAGTTCTTCTTGATTTCAACTAAATTCTTAAGTAATGTGAATTCAATCAATATTATAATTTTACAAATTTAATTTCTCTCAGCGAATACAAAACGTTCTCCCAAGCAATGGTTACATAATAGATTTGAAACATGATTTTGAGATTTGATTATGATGCATGCTATCTTACATATAAGTTTCAATTAACTTTTGCATTTTTAAAATAAAACTAATACAGTCATTATTAAGTATATTAGCAGAGACATGTATCCTTTGTCTCTGATATTAGTTTACACGAACCATTTATATTCTATAATTAATTATTGGTTTGTAAATGTGACCTCTGGTGAAGATTGTTATTTTTTTTTAGTATTGGATTTTAATATTTCAAAATCTTCTTTGGGAAAGTGTCCGCAAAATGTAAATGTTCGAAATGAAGTTAATTGATATGACGTTTTCGGACCTTTTGCATAACAGTTTATGGTACGAAAGGTTCGGATGTTTATACCCTAGGAACCCTGAGTTTTGAACAACATGATATCACGCCAACATTGATGTTCGCAGCACGTCCACATTCTAATTTCGAAAATCCTCCGATTTTAATTTGTTTATGCAAAAGATTAAGAGATTTTTCATGTATTTGCTATTATGTGTATTTTAAGCAGGTATCAATGCTTATTATTATACGTCATGTCAAAATGCCAGATTTTGATTGGTTAATACGAGGGAGACAATTTACCAGTTTCAATCCACCATTTTCTACATAAGAAAATGCCTGTACCAAGTCAGGAATATGACAGTTGTTATCCATTCGTTTGATGTGTTTGTTTTTTTGATTTTGCCATTTGATTGGGGACTTTCCTTTTTGAATTTTCCTCGGAGTTCAGTATTTTTGTGACTTTACTTTTTACTCTATTCTATGGTAAATACTCTATTACCCTTCATGGAGACGCTTGATCAAGTGTGCGCTTTATTAAATACGACTCTATCCTATGGCAAATACTCTATTACTATTACCCTTCACGGAGACGCTTGATCAAGTGTGCGCTTTATTAAATACGGATGATTGTTATGTACAAGATGTCATAGTTGATTACTTTGAATTTGAAATTTAATCGACAGTAATAACAGAACATTCAGTATAATAAATTAAATAACACATATCTGAGAGGGTGATAGAGCAGATTGTTACCCCTCGAAAAGACATTGTCAACCTTGGCTATCCTCAGTTGACAATGTATTCTCGGGGTAACAATCTGCCGCCTATCACCCTCTCAGCTATGTGTTATTTATATAATGTTTTTCTGTGTTCAACGGATGTCTTGTTGCAATTATTGCAATTATTGAAGTCTGCTATACTTTTTAAGGGGGAAAGGAGATTATACCTGTTAGTTGCTTCGGCTGATCCAACCGTACTCCGAGATTAATTAAGTATGGCTTATTTCATTCTGAAGATTTTTTTGTGTGGTCTTGGGTGTTGTAGGCTAATGCATATAGAATAAGGAGATGTGGTATTGCCAATGAGAGTCTAAATGAAACAGATTTTAGCAACTTTTAGGAAAAGGAGGAAAAGAGAAAAGAGTTTGTCTTTTCTGGCTGCTACGCGACAAGTATAACTGTCCAATATTTTTGGCAATTCCCGTAATCATTTTTTTTATTTATCTTATAGATAATGGTATAAAAATTAGAAGATGTGGTACGAGTGCCAATGAGACAACTATCCATCCAAGTCACAATGTGTAAAAAGGAAACAATTATAGGTCAAAGTACGGCCTTCAACACGAGGCCTTGACTCACACCGAACAGCAAGCTATAAAGGGCCCCAAAAAGACTAGTGTAAAACAATTCAAACAGGAAAACCAACGGTCTAATATATATAAAAAATGAGCAACAATTATGAACCACACCAACAAACGACAACCACTGAACAACAAGGCTCCTGACTTAGGAACGGTGCATAAAATGCAGCGGGTTTAAACGTTTTAACAGGCGCCAACTTTCACTCTAAGCTGAAACAGTGGTATAACATTACAATATAAAAAGACACACAATAAAATATCAATTGAAATGGTTTAACTCAAACAAAAAGACAATACACAAAAACAAGTAAATATACACTGAACGAATAAGTTTGATCTATGACACAATATTAATAAAAAAGATGTTTCAATGTTAAAAAGACAACTTTAACCTAGGCAAAAATGGCGTTAAATAAAGTAACGTACTTTGGCGTATTTTAAATATAATAATTTAGTTGTTAGGAGTACAGAAACATTTTTTACAACATAAATTTGTTATTCATAGTACGAGAACAGAAGTGAAAATTTTTTCGTCATACTAAATACTTATCAAAGGTGGTACATATTAAAAATAGTAAGACAAGATATAACTCAAAATAAGTAAATATTGAATAACAGAAATGCATTACAAATTGTGTCAATAGGTCAAATTAACACGAAAGTACGATTTGAGAGTACTCGCAGTTATTGAAAGCTAGTTAAAAGCCAAAAACAATTAATAATAAAAAATCATGCATCAGAGACTAAAATCAATTAAAACACATCCCAGGCAGGGATTTAGTGTTTTAACGCCGTGGACAGTCAAAGAAGACATGACTTGTGCATTTGCCAAAATAAAAGTAACGTCAGGCAGTGGGATAGTTAGGATTTAACCTTATAATAAATATGTATGAAGTTATGTATACAGATAAAACAATTTCTAAATAGAAAATAAACGTGGATGTGTAAATATACATCCCAAAAAAACATTCGAAAAGAATACAAATTTAGTTATGTTTTAATTTGTTGATGACAAAATCGATTTTAGTGCCAATGAAAACAATATTCAAACATCTTATTACAACATTTATAAGATAACCTTTTCTAATAAGTTTGTTTAAAGGTTCGATAAGTTTACACGGATCACATAGTGATTTCCGCGCTTTTAGTACAATATTTAGGATGTGAAATAGCATTTTTAATAAGTTTTCTACAGGTACAGACAAATTTACTAATCAAATCTTTGTATCTATGAAAAAATTTTAGTAAATGTTTTAAGTAATTTATGGTAACGAAATCTCTGACTTAATAATTTACCAGTGATACATTGATTACGTTCGTTAAAATCTATGACATCACTACACACGCGGGCATAACGAACGAGTTAGGATATATACTGCACATCGACAATGAACAAGAACCACGCCGCATAGTAAGCTATCAAACACTCTGGCATGACAGAATTTTGAACAAACAGCAATAACTAACTGCAAAAAAATTTCGTTAGCCTGGACTTGT